GTTGTATTTCTAGATTCACATTGTGCTTGATAGATAACATCAAGACCGTTGCAAAGGGGATAAAATAGCAGATAACTTCTCAAAACCATGAGACTTAATTAGAAGGTTTTCTTGCAACCCCAGGTATCAAAATTCTTATTCAATTTGGTAACTCTAAAATCATTCTGTCTTAGTTATACTATTGTCGGCCTATATCCAAAACAAACATTTTCCTGCCTTCCAATATTAGTTTTCTAACATAAATTTCAATCTAGAAAGTACCTTAATTGTAACAAATAACAGAGCATAAATATTATTTTCAAGAAAAAAAACTCATCTTCAGAGCTTGTAATGTGTAATATCCATATCTGCTTGATTTGAAGAAACTCTTGAGAAAAACTACTCATCTTTAAGATATAATTATACGTAACTGATTTTCAAGTTTTTCTTTAATTGTAACTTATAAGAAATAAAGTTTGTTCACTTTCAAACAATCCTCCATATGGATATATATCTTCTTCTGCATCATTCTTATCACTATTAACAATGTTATAATGTTGCAATCCCGCATCTCGTTGAATATAATTTCTCGACAATTCCGTTATGACGATATTTTAATTCATGGAAGTCTATAATCCTCAATCAATCAATAAGTATAAAAAAGGCAGCATGATTTTTTTAGTTTGTTGGCACTTCACATTGAATCGGTGGCATGAATAAAAGCCTTTATGGTTGGAACTTGGAAGAGAGGGAGGTTACTATGGTAACAAAAGTGGCAGAAATGAGGAAGATTATGCAATAAAGGTAACTTCTGAAAACAATGGGGAAATGGGTGCGTGGAGTCAATGGAGGTTACAATTCTGTTGTCATTCTCTCTTTGATGATATTATTTAAAGAAGAAAATCAATTAATGGAATATTTCTTTAAAGGTTGTGGCTGTTCACCACTTAACCGTTGTTTGATTCCATTTTTAAACGGCACTTAATTAAAGAAATAGGGGCAAAAAGTCAAAAAATTCTAAGAAAAGAAAAATATGAATTCTGCTCAAGGAGATTGCCAATTCATATTTTTCTTTTCTTACACTTTTTTGACTTTTTCCCCGTATCTCTTTAATTAAGTCAAACAACGGTTAAGTAGTTAACAGTCGCAACCTTTAAAGAAATATTCTATTAATCGGTTTCCTTCTTTAAATAATATCATCAAAGAGAGAATGACAACATGCCTCATCAGTTTCGTTATTAGTTGTAGGTAGTAAATAATTTTTTTTGTATTAAAATTAGGAAAAAAAATCTCAAAAATCTAAAAAAAAAAGATAAATATAAAAGTTGGCCATATAAGGATGCCACATCAGCTGGCCAATTCCTAGCTTTATTTGTTTATATAGATGTTTGAAAGTAGACTCAATATTATCCTTCAAATATGGACCTGAGCACTATTTGTCCTTTAAGTTTGCAAAATCTGGGCACAAATAGTACAACTAACAGAATGAGGTTAAAATTAAAGGAAGAATTCCACGTGACTTGCACGCGAGAAGTTTCAAAAGCCCCTGCCTCTGTTTTCTCCCCTTCAGCACGTTCCCCGTCTTTGTTTTGTCCCTGCGAGCATGTCAAACGCCTCCATCAAGGTGGCACAGAGCCACAGATTTAGGCAAAGGCAAAATATTACAAATGTCCTCAAGTTTTAGCTTGCCGCTTTCGGCATGTGTTTCCAGCTATAGGTGCAACTTAGTTTCAACAGAGACGGGTAACATACTCGAAGTGGAGCAATCAGAGCCAACTTACTGTTGAATCATAGATTGCCAATTTGTAGTTGCGTGTTATCGATGTTGAAGATCCCTACCCTAGAAAATAACTAAAATTTCAGTACATGGCTTACCCTTTAGTAGTTGGTAAAGCACGTTCTTATTGGCTGCGAACTCATACATACAAGATAATTTGAGGAAGATTCTGCAAATTAAAACTTACATAATATCAGAAAAATTTAAGATACATTTGAGGATGTTTTAAGGAGAAATCGGGGAAGTTCGTTACATAGATGATAGATCTCGAGATTGAAATTTTTGAATTTTTTTATATAGAATTTAATTTTTATCCCATAAATCACAATTGTTCCTCCTTTTTCTATTATATAGAAGAGAGGAGAGGAGGTCGACCAAGGCATTATGGCCATTTCAAAAATATAACTACATTGTGTGCTTGTATAGTAGGCTCAAAAACATGGTTGTGGGTTCCTCCTAATGACTGAAAATCAAAAGTAACGTGACCCTAAGCTATTGAACTCTTCAGACGGATTCCACTTCCCATTCAATCTTAACTATCTTCTTTAAATGCACTACTAGACTACTGTTACTTTGTCATTTGTTTGAAAGTAGATTGCTTCTCAGTTCTCTTTCACTGTTTAAAAAATATTTTTTCAATAAGTATTTTTAACTAGAAAATTTATCTATTAGGTAATTTTATAATTTAAACGTTCATTTGATTAAAAACATACTATAGTAACATATATTTATATATAATAAATCCATTATCTCCTTAAGAAAAATTATTTCATTTGTTTTATTTACTGAATATTTTTGGTAAAGAATATTAAAAAAAAGTGACAATAATTTATGTAGATTTTTATTAAGATATTCTTATATTAATATCAATTGATATCATTTTATACAAATTCTCATTAAATTGCAATTTCAATTGGAACACTCTATAGAATCAGGGAAAAAAAATTAAGAATAAAACATAGTTTCAAGTCCCCTTTTTATTAAACAATACTGAGGTTTGTTCAAATTATATAAAAATAATTTCCTCTATAAAATATGATTTTAGAATAATCTAAACAAAAAATTAAGATAACAACTTGGAGAATTTTTTTCTTTATTATATATTAGGCAGCATGAGAGGTATCATTATGCAGGATTATACTTCTCCCTCGATGATCAAAGTTAGTTGGGTACTTCCTCTATGTTTAATAGAGAATTCAACACTATATAAACTTCAAAATACATAAATATAAAATTAACTATTTTTAAAAAATGTTCAACAAATAATTATAGCAAAGAAAGTGGTACTACACCCTAGAGTATCTCAATCATATCATATGAAACTAGAAAAAAGCTGTAATGCTTCAATTTAAGGTCAATTTTATTAGTATTAAGAGTGATCGAAAAAATTATTTATGTTTAATGCATTATTAGATATGCCTTTAAACTGGAATAAAATACACATTTACTTATTATTATTATTATTATTATTATTCAATAATTCAAAATCACTATTATTATTTCAATAACAGAAAAAAATTGCATAAACTATTTGGAAATAAAATGTAATATTGTACTATTCAAATTTTGATTAATATAAAAAGAAAAAGCAATACATTAACACAATTGAAAATACTAAAAGAGTACAGCTATATATATTATTCAATTTAAATAAGGAGAAAGTACACCGCAACTTATTTTTCGACTGACTTTTTAATCATTTTCTTAGGGAAAATGCATAAGTATCCCCTGACCTATACCCGGATTTCCAACTACACGCTTTTTCTTTGCGGGAATCCTATTACCCCCCCAAACTTATTTTAAATGGAATTATTTGCACCCTTAACGCTGACGTGGCAGAGTGTGTGTATTTCGCTCTCCCAAAGGAGAGTGAGAAGCAAGAAAAAACGATTTTCAGATTATTTTTTATTATTTTTTACCATTTTTCCTACTGTTTTTTCCTTTTCCTTTTTCTTTGTCTTTTTTCTTTTACTTTTTTTTTTCGTTTCTTCTCTAATTCCGGCAGATATTCATTCACTGGGGACTTTATCTAACCGTTTTTCTTTCATTTTTTCTTTTTACACACAAATTAAACTCTCAAAAAGAACTATTCATAAGCAAAGCATAATACACTCGGATTTGGGGAAAAAAATCATCATCGGAAAATCTTCCCACCGGAAAAAAAATGATGTATTGAAATTTTAACTGAAAAAAGTTTTCTCAGCTTATATTCATTTTTATTTCTTTTCCTCTTCCTCCCACACATAAATTATACTTTCAAGAAAAATTTATATATATATATATATATATATATATAAAACAAAACACACTTAGATCGGGATAAAAGTCTATCGCCGGAAAAAAAAAGTTTGCCGGAAAAATGGTGTTTGTGAAATTCCGACGATCACCATTTTATGCCGCCGGTAACCAAAACAAAAAAAAAAAAGAATGAAATAACCAAAAAAAAAATGAGAATAATAAGAAATAAGAAAAAAGGACAAGAAAAAGAAAAAAGAATAAAAAAAGTACTAAAATACATGTGGGGGCGCGTGTAGCTCACCACTTGCTAAGAGTTTGGTTGTCAACGTTAATGGTGCAAATAATTACATTTAAAATAAGTTTAGGGGGTAATAGGATTCCTGCAAAGAAAAAGTGTGTAGTTGGGAATCCGGGTATAGATTAGGGGGTACTTATGCATTTTCCCCATTTTCTTATAATCAATATTAAGTTTGGTGTGGCGGAACTATTTTTTAAATAAAAGAGTGCACAACCTATGTAGAAATTTTAACTTGTACTTGAAGTATTTTATAATCTTTGTTATAATAAAGTGTCATATTTCAACAAGTATTACAAAGTGATTGTTATCGTAATACGACTTCAGAAAAATTAAAATACACATAACGGAAAAGATAAAAAACAATACAGGTAAACATGATTCTATACGTTATCACACAAAAACTTATTTTCTTTCTTCTTTTCTTAAATATGAATAAGGTGTGTAATTAGCAATAGATCAAGAAATATTAAAAGGAAGACAATATGAAAAATGAGGGGCTTTTTTTGAGTTTTAGCCCGTGCCAAAATTACATTCGGTAGCCGAAAAAAATGTATAAAATTTGCATAATTTTTATATATAACATACAAAATATATATATATATTCGATTAGTGTTTTAAGAATAGCTATAGAATATCATTTTCCTGAAAAAGAACAATATTGAGTCTACTTGTCAAACATAAGGGATAATTTTTGCCAAAAACTAAACAAAGTGGTCAATTCCTAATTAGTCTCTAATTAGTCTTCTTCTTCATCCGTTCTTCTCTGCTTCTTTCCTTCTCCCAACAAAACCTTTTACATGTCTCTGTTTTTCCCCAGTACAACACGACCCATTGGAGCCCTTACCAATAAGCCTCAGTCCAGTAGTCCACCACCCATCTTCAGCTTCTCTGCCCTAAAAAAACACAGGAGCTCTTGATTTCAGAAACCTAAACTTGCAGCATGAACAAAAAGTTTCAAAGGAGACAAAAGGACTAATACAAGTTACTACATAGCAGCGAAATTGAAGGTATTTCGTTTCCCATCTCTTCAAATCTTTACTTAGGGAAATCAATTCTCACAATTGCCGTGTCCGAGCAACTTAGGTTTTGCCTCATTCAGGGCTTCCACTAAGATTTGTCTCTGATTTTTAATTTCCAGTATAGAGATCATTGTTTTGTAGGTGGTCTTTACACTGTATAATCTGCAGCTCCCCCACATGGATGATCATCAGGAAATGGAAAGGTTTGGGGTGGAGAACGATTTTGAAGATGGTCAGTGGATCGGTGGTGAGTTCTACTACCGGAAGCGCAAAGAAAAGAAGCATGTTCAAACCAAGGATGATGTCCTCTATGGTGTTTTTGCTTCCGACGATAGTGACTCTGACTACCAGGGATCCTCCAAGAAGCGGAAAAAATGCCTTTCCACCAAGGCTGACCTCACCAAACCTGTCAACTTTGTTTCAACTGGAACTGTCATGCCCGACCAAGAAATAGATCGCAATTTCAAAGAGGAGAAAATGTCCGAAGCGAGCAAAGGTTTGGGATCCGACCAAGAAATAGATCGCAATTTCAAAGAGGAGAAAATGTCCGAAGCGAGCAAAGGTTTGGGATCTGGAGCATCTGTTGGCCTTGGATTTGGTACTAGTTCCTCGAAGAATATTGCTGCTGATGAATACACCAAAACACAGGCCCAGGTTGAAATTGAAGAGGAAAACTTTCTGCCCACTGCTTTTGGGAGGAAGATTAAAGAAGGTGCCCTAAGACGTGAGAAGGAAAGGGAAAAGGAGAAGTCTATGTTGGCCAAGAAATCTTCTGAATCAGGGAGAAGGGAACCTGGTGGCGATGTTGGTGGCTTTGAGAAGCATACCAAGGGGATTGGGATGAAGTTGCTTGAGAAGATGGGTTATAAGGGAGGTGGTTTGGGAAAAAATGAGCAGGGAATTTTGGCTCCGGTCGAGGCAAAGCTTAGGCCCAAGAATATGGGAATGGGCTTCAACGACTATAAGGAGACTAGTGCACCAACTCTTCAAGAATCAGAGGGAAAGCCTGTTGCTCGTCCTGCTCAACCTGTGGAAGGCCACTCAAAAGAGAAGCTTTGGTCAAAGCAAGCTAAAAAACTGAAGAAGGTTTACATTACAGCTGAAGAGTTGTTAGCCAAAAAGCAGGAGCTGGGCCTGGAAGTTGTTCAGAAGGTCTTTGATATGAGGGGTCCACAGGTTCGAGTCTTGGCGAATCTGGAGAACTTGAACGCCGAAGATAAAGCAAGGGAAAATGATGTTCCAATGCCTGAACTTCAGCATAATATTAGGTTGATTGTGGATTTGGCGGAACTTGACATACAGAAAATTGACAGTGATTTAAGAAATGAGAGAGAAACAGTTGTTGCTTTGCAGAAGGAGAAGGAGAAGTTCCAAGCTGAGGCAGCTCGCCAGAAAAGGCAGCTTGATAATATGGAAGAGATTGTCAGTGTATTGGACCGGATTGGGCAAGAGAGCTCATCTGGTACTCTGACCCTAGACTCCCTTGCAGCAGCATTTGCAGAATTGCAGCAGCAGTATTCTGAGGAATATAAACTCTGCAACTTGTCAAGCATAGCATGCTCATATGCTCAGCCTTTATTTATACGTGTTTTTCAAGGATGGGATCCACTTCAAACTCCAACACATGGAATGGAGGTGGTTTCCAGATGGAAGTATCTTTTGCAAGGGGATGACATTTTTACTATCTCTGATGCTGCATCTCCTTATACTCAAATATTCATGGAAGTTGTTTTCCCTGCCATTAGAATATCCGGCACCAATACCTGGCAGGCAAGGGACCCTGAACCAATGCTTCGGTTTTTGGAGTCCTGGGAGAAGCTGTTGCCTCGTGCAGTTCTTCAGACAATACTGGAAAACATTGTCTTGCCCAAGTTATCAGCTGCTGTGGACTCCTGGGATCCACGTCGAGAAACAATTCCAATCCATTCCTGGGTTCATCCATGGCTGCCCTTATTGGGTCAAAGGTTGGAAAGCTGCTATCACACTATACGTAACAGATTGGAAAGTGTACTGCATGCGTGGCACCCAAGTGATATGTCTGCGTACTACATATTGTCTCCTTGGAAGACTGTGTTTGATACAATTAACTGGGAAAAACTGATGGTCAGGTTTATTGTTCCAAAGTTGTTAAATGTAATGCATGAATTCCAAATAAATCCAGCAAATCAGAACCTTGATCAGTTCTATTGGGTCCGTACTTGGGCTACTGCTATTCCCATCCATCACATGCTTCCAATACTGGATATATTCTTCAACAAGTGGGAAGTAGTTTTGTACCACTGGTTATGCTCAAAAAACCCGAACTTTGAAGAAGTGACAAAATGGTATTTGGGTTGGAAGGAACTTATTCCACCTGAACTTCTGGCAAATGAACACGTTCGCTATCGACTTAATGTCGGTCTAGACATGATGAACCAGGCTGTTGAAGGCTCAGAGGTGGCTGAACCTGGTTTGAGGGAGAACATAAGTTATCTTAGGGTTCTTGAACAAAGGCAGTTTGAGACTCAGAAAAAAGCAGCAGCGCAATCTCAATCCCGTCCTTCTGTGGGCTTGAACAGTGGAATCCAAATGGACGGTACAGGTGGCGGGGATGAGATGAATTTGAAAAGAGTTATTGAAGTTTATGCACAACAGAATGATTTGTTGTTTCAGCTTAAGCCCGGGCGAATGCAAGATGGTCATCAGATATATGGTTTTGGTAAAATCAGCATTATTATAGATTCTCTCAATCAGAAGGTATTTGCACAAGTAGAGGACAGGTGGTCTTTGGTGTCACTTGAGCAACTGTTGGACCTGCAAAAGTTAAAGAGCCGATAAGCATCTTAAGTTCTTGAATTTCTCAGTACGAAAGCAACTCCAAGTTTTCTTAAACTAATGTGTAGGCTTCACGTACCTTTCTGCACTGAGATCTTTCATTGTGCTGCAGCAAGTCATGAGAAGATGAAGTGCTTCTTTTCTCCCTAGTGGCATTTTACTGCTTCTTTAGTGAGATTTTAAGTTGTAAGTTTCCGTCGTCCTACATTGGCATTTGGCAAAATCACTAGAAATGAGAGAGACGTGAGTGTCAGTCTTTCTGGCTCAGATAGCAGCCCTTCAATTTTTTTACATAGATTTCATATTGTATTTCTTCGTGAGTTTCTTTATATAGAAGCACTAGATGTTCAATATCTATTTAATTATATAAATGTTAATCCTAACTTATATTTTCCTATTTTTATATAGAAGCACTAGATGTTCAATATGTATTTAATTATATAAATGTTAATCCTAACTTATATTTTCCTATCAACACTTAGTGTTCAGCCATATTGTAACTGTTTCATAGATTTGTTTTGATCGGCCGCAAATCTGTTTTATTCTGTGGAGGCTAAAGGCGGGTTGACTTAGAAGTAATGATGATTGAATGCAATTTAAGTCTTATCTGATGCAAACCAGAGAAGAATGGTGCTTATTATCTGTGAATAGTTGATGCATGCGGGCTTGTACTGGTAAAAAAGAAAATAAAAAGAGAGAAACTAAGGAATGCATCAGAGGCTGTTGAGAAAATTCCATTCTTCAATTAGGACAGCTGCTCCTTAGACTTAGAGAAAGATTAATGGATAGGAGATTTGCGAAAGATTAGAAGGAGCTCTTACTCAAGCTAACTTTCACCAGTTGATGATATATAATCAAAAGAGAAGAAATAGACTTCCTGCTCAGTATGATATGAATATTAAAGTGCTGCAGCAGAGCCTATGCAATTCAATTCAATCTCTGCTGGCTGCTTCAGTATCTGACGGTCTAATCTCTGCTATTAACTTGGGTGTGTGATGGAGTTATTAGGGTTCAATAGAGTTAGAGCTTTGCACAATTCACTTTCCTCTGTACGATCTTTCTCCTTTTTTTTGGGTCAAAGCTACCAAGTGTTGGTTGGGTAGGTTTGGGCTGACCCCAACCTGTTCATTTCATTCAGCAGAAGTACAAGGAGGTAGGATGTACAATCATTCTAATCTTAACTTTTTCTTACTGTTCTAGATTTTTAATTTGTTCCTAAAAAATTTTTAAGTTTAAATTTGTGTATAGTATCTAAAAGTTCCAGTGGTGCAAGGTTGCCGTTTTGGTCCCTCAATTATTAGTCCTACTACAGATAAATGTTTCAAGATTCAGTGTTTTTAATTATTATATCATGAGATTACTCATTTTATGCCTTGGAGAATTTTTAGTACCTTTTGTTTTATGATTGTAACACCCCGTAAATTCGACCTAGGTATGAATGAGTTAAAGGAGTAGTAAGGTTATATTTTGGACATGTGAAGTCCCATCGGGATGATTATGAGTGGAATAGTTGTTTCAAAATTAAGATGGAAAGTGAGGTGCATAAGATTTGACAAAATCGACTAAGTTTGCAGAAGGTCTGTCTTCCATCAAGTTTTAGTGAAAATGTGTAAGGAATTGGGGAAAACACAAAGCATGAAAGTTGTAGGTCTTTGAAATAGCTTTCCAACGATATATTATGGAGCCCGAACGGATCTCTGTGCAAAACGTTATGTGCGTTTTACGGAACAGTACGCGCATGCGCGCCAGTAGCGCGCCCAGTAGCGCGGCCGCGCTAATTTTGAGGCAGTGTTACTGCTATTTAGCGCGGTCACTAGCGGGCAAGCCTCCAGTAGCGCGGGCGCGCTAGTGGGGGGTCGTTTTAAAGCTATATCGTCCCCCACAGCCCCAAAACATAAAAACATGCTCTAGAAAGGGGAACTCTCAAAAACCTAACTCCTTAAGGGTCCTTCCACCATCCAAGGTAAGTTCTAATGGTGATTCTAAGTTAATTTCAATTTTCCAACATCTTATTAACATGGTAAACCCTCCATATCATTAGATATTCGATTGGGACATCGTTGTTGAGAGAAGGAACCCTAGAACTCGAATTCAAGGAGATTGAACGTCAAAAAGGTAATATCTTCACCCTCTAATTGATTCTATCATTGGTTTGATGATTATAAACCCTAGTGCATGAGATATGAGTAGATGGGTTTGATAGAAAAGCATGAACGATTATAGGGTTGGGGTGTTGAGTGTTGATTATTGGTTAAGAGTGTTGTTTACCTTATGGGTGATGGAGAATAATGTTGATTATAACCATTTGAGACTTTAGAATTTATCTNTTTGGTCTAAAGGGGTGATGTGAAAATTTTCAGTAAGTCTAGTTAGAGATTTGACACCCAAATAGTTAGCATGGAATATGAAAAAGAAAATCATTTTTTGGTAATAAGGAAATTGTATAATTACCACAAGGAATAAGTCTAGCATGTGTAAGGAACGCAAAGTGAGTAGAATGATCACCGAGCTTAGTTATTGGTGATAAAGTGATCACAGAAAAGCTATAAAATCATGCCCAGTTATGTATTACGAGGGCAATTCCATTGCACGAGACCCTTCCGAGTAGTTGTCAGAGGCTTAGCTCACAGCAAGACTATAAGTGTTTTCAGGAAGTGCTTAGGAAGATAATCAAGTGTGGGAAGTATAGCTCATGAATTAGGTAGACAAAGGAACTATGTTGAAAGAAGTTAACTGCTTAGCCAAGGTAGGAGTTCGACTTTCGGACACCAAAGATGGTGGAGTTGATGTCTAGAACAGGACCTGTTCCTCCTTAGTAGCCGAAGTGAAGGAGAAACGGTTTGATTATCCCTACTTGTTGTAGCTGAAAGAGGGGATTCACATGCATAACATATGGCTTTTGAACAAGGGGGAGATGATGGTACCTTGACGTACCAGGATAGATTGTGTGTTCTAACCATAGATGGACTTAGCAAGGGAGGAAGATGATAGAAGTCCATATGTCCAGGTATTCTATCCACCCAGGTTCCCCAAACATGTATCATAATCTCCAGGAGACTTATTGGTGGGACGACATGAAAAATAAGGTTGCATACTTTGTGGCCAAGTGTCTGAATTATCAGCAAGTGAAAGTCGAGCAGCAGAAAACCAAGTGTTTATCTCAGAACACACACATCCTTTAGTGAAGATGGTAAATATGGACCTTATAATAGGATTATCTTGCTCAGTTTGAAAACATGATTTTTATGGCTGAAGGTGTAGATCACCAATTGGTTGGTCTAAAGTTGGCGAAAGGGAGTGATGGGACCAAATTTGGTCTATCAGGCTATAGAGAAAGTTAAGTGGATTCAAGAGCATTTGAAGACAACTCAGAGCCGCCAAAAATCCTATTCGAATGTGCGACATAGAGACCTAGAGTTTCAAGTTGATGATTGGGTATTTCTGAAAGTGTCGCTTGTGAAAAACGTTATGAGATTTGGGAAGAAGGGGAAGCATAGTCCCTGCTATATTGGGCCATATAGATTCTTGCGAAGGATCGGTCAATTAGATTATGAGTTGGAGTTGCCACCAGAATTAGCGGTGGTACAACCAGTATTTCACGTATCATGTTATAACATTCAAGTTTTCAGTACTCAGATATTCATGTCAGTTCAGTACTCAGATACTCATGTCAGTTCAATACTCAAATACTCATGTCAGTTCAGTACTCAGATACTAATGCCAGCTCAATACTCAGCTACTCATGTTGGTCCAATACTTAGACATTCATGCCAGCTTAATATTCAGATTACTCAAATATTCAAGTCAGTTCAATACTCAGCTACTCATGTCAGTCCAATACTTAGATATTCATGCCAACTTAGTACTCTGATATTGATGTTAGTTCAAGTCTCAAATATCCGTGCCAATTCAATATTCGAATATCCATGTTAGTTCTGTATTCATGTATCCATGGCAGACCAATATTCAGTCAATGCAGCAGTCATTAAGTTCAGCATATCAACAGTTCAGTAATCATGTATTCATTCAGTTTAGTATGCAAGTGTTACTGAAAGTTCATGTTTGCACCAGACTCGTTTAAGATCCGGAGTTAGCAGAAGTTACAGTCAAGACAATCATTCGAGGACGAATGATCCCAAGGGGGAGATAATGTAACACCCCGTAAATTCGACCTAGGTATGAATGAGTTAAAGGAGTAGTAAGGTTATATTTTAGACATGTGAAGTCCCATCGGGATGATTATGGGTGGAATAGTTGTTTCAAAATTAAGATGGAAAGTGAGGTGCATAAGATTTGACAAAATCGACTAAGTTTGCAGAAGGTCTGTCTTCCATCAAGTTTTAGTGAAAATGTGTAAGGAATTGGGGAAAACACAAAGCATGAAAGTTGTAGGTCTTTGAAATAGCTTTCCAACGATATATTATGGAGCCCAAACGGATCTCTGTGCAAAACGTTATGTGCGTTTTACGGAACAGTACGCGCATGCGCTCCCGGTAGCGCGGCCGCGCTAATTTTGAGGCTGTGTTACTGCCATTTAGCGCGGTCACTAGCGCGGGCAAGCCTCCAGTAGCGCGGGCGCGCTAGTGGGGGGTCGTTTTAAAGCTATATTTCGTCCCCCACAGCCCCAAAACATAAAAACATGCTCTAGAAAGGGGAACTCTCAAAAACCTAACTCCTTAAAGGTCCTTCCACCATCCAAGGTAATATCTAATGGTGATTCTAAGTTAATTTCAATTTTCCAACATCTTATTAACATGGGTAAACCTTCATATCATTAGATATTCGATTGGGACATCGTTGTTGAGAGAAGGAACCCTAGAACACGAATTCAAGGAGATTGAACGTCAAAAAGGTAATATCTTCACCCTCTAATTGATTCTATCATTGGTTTGATGATTATAAACCCTAGTGCATGAGATATGAGTTGATGGGTTTGATAGAAAAGCATGAACGATTATAGGGTTGGGGTGTTGAGTGTTGATTATTGGTTAAGAGTGTTGTTTACCTTATGGGTGATGAAGAATAATGTTGATTATAACCATTTGAGACTTTACAATTTATCTAGGATCAAGAGAATGGCTTGTTGGGTGTAGAAACACCATTAATAAGGACCATGAAGCTTTATGTCACCAAGTGTTTGAGAAAATGTTTAAGTGACTAAAACATGAGAATTTATGCTAATATGGAATCTCTTTGACTTGTATTGATATAGATTAAAGTTGAAAGGGTTGGCGAAGGTTGTATTACACTCAAGAGCAGGAAGTTAAGGTATGTGAGGCTAACTCTCTGTGTTTGGGAATTTTAATGATTCTCCCTACACTACGTTTCTTTTACGACGTTACCAATTGCCTCAGAAATATAGTTAAGCCTAGTTCCTTGAATAGTTGTAGAACTTCTATTCTCTAGCTTCATAACTCGCCCATGACTTTCA